CAGGGCCAAACCAGCCGTGTCCTTCGCGCCTGGGGAGGTAGCGCAGGCAGGAGGCAGGGGAACTCTGAAATGGGACCCTGGCCATCTGCACATGCTAGAAGGGAAGCAACACGGTGGAGTGGATGATTGCTTCCTTTCCAGTAAGAGGATTCAACTGAGTCCTCCCCCTTCTCGTGGGAAGTTCAAGGGATGAGAGCTTGTGAGCTTCGGGCCTTGTGGCTTATTTGGCAGTGACGGCAAACCTTTTTGATCCTGAGTTCCCAAACTGGGAAACAAACAAACCAGCAGGCAGCGACAGAAGTGGCAGCAGAAGGGAGAATCCCGGGCACGGAGGTGCCACCAGACCCCACTCCAGATCCAGCTTCAATTGTGCCCAACTCCTGCCAGCGCCAGCTGCTCCGGATCCTGGCCTGCTGCCTGCAGCCTCCTCCTCAGGTTTGGCTGCCGGGGGTAGCGATCCGGCAACTTACGGCTCGCGTGCCTGCAGAGAGGACTCTGCGTGCCAGCTATGGCACACGTGCCATAGGTTCGCCATCACTGCTCTAGGGGCTTCCCAAATCTACATGTGGGACCTGGACTGCAAGGACAAACTTCCTTACCTTTGAATACAAAGCCAAACAAACTTAAGCAAAGCACGAGTTTCAAGCAACCACTTTTTATTTTTATTTTTATTTTTTGGCTGCCTTTGTGTCAAGAGTTATGGCCAAAAGAGGAACGCTAATAGAAAACAGTGGTGCAATTGCATACTGTAATTGTACATCCCTTGTTTGTTTTACTGTAATGTATTGTTTGTATTTACAGCTCAGAAAACTCAGCTATGGGCAAGGTATAGGTGTACTTTTTGAATGTATGTGAAATATACAGTAGGCATTCCATTTGCATAATGCTGCAATAAATACACAATTTCAATACCCTGCTTATGAGGTATTTATTTTCTAATCCCTTGCAGGGGTTTGTTTTGAAAGGATGGATATATGTCACATCTGACAAACAACATTATGTTAAGAAGTCTATCAAATACCTAGATGAGGGAAATCAAGACAACACTGATATATTCGGAATGATGGGAAAGGTACAGAATTTACATTCAATTCCTTATCTTTCTGATTTTGTTTGTTACAGATGTGTGATGGCCAAGCTGTTAGGATGATAGCAGTAAAAGTTGAGATCTTGGCCTATTACAAGTCAAAATCCAAACACACTGTAATGTGAGCCTATGCAGAATGAGGTCCGCCAAAGCTAGTTAAATTCACATGGCAAAGGCTAGCCTGATTATGTTCACAAAGCCAAATTTAGAACATTTTCTATAGATTTCGTGGGAGTAAGTCCCACAGAACTAGTTGGAACATGTGTCTGTATAAATCTGTATAGGATTGCGCCATCGATAGATTCAGTTCAGTTAGAACAAAAATGATTAAATCAAATTTTATCACAGTACAGTACTACTTTTTATGAGCAGCAATAATAAACGTTATCTAAGCCTGTGCAAAAAAAAAAATCTACTTATAGGAAAACCAGATTCTATCCAAAAACACACAGTGAGAAAATTATCAACACATTGCATCTTTTACACAATTTCACATTTCAACAGGTGTTGCCTGCATTCTTCGAACTGTATCTTCGCAGTCATAAGAGTAGAAACATTTGTTATTTTAAATGCAAGTTGAGATTTTCAGAGAGTTGTTTTTTGTCCTCAAGTGTCACCTTCTGTGTTTTTATTGACCTTCTGCAGAACTGTGCTCTGCACACCGACACACAACATGCACTACACTCTACATGTGTATTTCTTTGTTATTTCATTATTTAATTTACAGTTTCCCTTTCCCCCAGTGCAGGGACTTAAGGTAGCTCAGAAAAATGATTTAAAAACAGATGCAACTAAAAATATATAATAAGTTATAATGTAAAAATGTTTCAAGTCAACAAAACTGGAAAAAGGATAGCTAATCCTGGCAAACTCCAGGGTAGCTAAATATGACACAAATCCATATGGGGTCTTCACAAGATGGCCACCACTGGCTTATGACCCACTTGAGTGCCAATGGGGGGAAAAGTGGATCAAGGCCATAGGTTTCTTTTTTTCCAACTCTGTAACTTTCTACCACCTTCCTTTCTCTGTAGGCAAAATATTTCATGGCACAACAGAACTATTCAGGAGCTCTACTGATAATTAGCCAATTAGTGGTCACATTACCGTTCTTCACGCCCGCCCTTGTCACCAAGATGAGGCTACATTTAGCACTGCAGGACTGGGAACAAAGTGTAGAAGAAAGTAACAGGTAGGAAACGATTTTAACGATGGAAATTTCCAAGGCAACAATTTGTCTGTTGCTGCAGAAACAACAAAGAATCTTTTGGCACCTTTAATTTACCCGATGTTTCCATGGACCGTCATCCATTTCTTGAGATTCCTGGAGTAGATAGCCTCAGTAGACAGACATATCGTTCCCCGTGTTTGTATCTGTTTCATCTGCTGAGACTTTACTCCATGCGCCTGAAGATGTGGGCATGAAAGCTTGCTCAGTAATAGAAAGAACTCGGAAGTATCATTAATCTGGAAGCTATTTGGCCCTGTTTATATAAAATTAAAATAGTACGACTTTTTCTGAGGAAGGACAACATAGCTGCCCCCTCCATACACATTTGCAGAATACAAGGAGAACCACATCCTCTGCCTCAGATTTTATTCTTTTTCTACTCCAAGGGTCATTTTTTATGCTTAACTTATTTTCCCTCCCACAAGAGGGTTACCTCAGCAATTAGACTTTTTTTTAACAACTCTTTCCTGATGTCAATTCCACTAGTGCAGTTTAATGTGTAGTTTAAGGTTCAACGTTACTTTCAGTAACAGGAAATTTGGTTTGCTCTCCTTTTACTTTTTTCCACACATTATCTTTTAAGAATTCTACGCACAGAACCGAATGATATCGATGCACTCCAGAACTTGGTTGTAAATCATCTCACCGTGACTGGGAATAAAAGTATGGTGAGTAGTACTCTTATTTCCTGACCGTTGTAAGGTAAGATATGACTTTTCAAACTTTTTTTCCCATCATGATGTTCTTGTTCACAGTGGCATGAAGAGTATCTCACTTTCGCCATTGGTAATAGTTATCTTCTTGCAGTGTTTGCATTGAACAGACACGTGTAGATACGTTTGCTTCATAGGTATAAATATGCACCATTGTTCTTGTTGTTTGACTGGGACGTGGTGGCGCTGTGGGCTAAACCACAGAAGCCTGTGCTGCAAGGTCAGAAGACCAAGCAGTCGTAAGATCGAATCCACGCAACGGAGTGAGCGCCCGTCGCTTGTCCCAGCTCCCGCCAACCTAGCGGTTCGAAAGCATGCAAATGCAAGTAGATAAATAGGGACCACCTCGGTGGGAAGGTAACAGCGTTCCGTGTCTAAGTCGCACTGGCCATGTGACCACGGAAAGATTGTCTTCGGACAAACGCTGGCTCTATGGCTTGGAAACGGGGATGAGCTCCGCCCCCTAGAGTCGAACACGACTGGACAAACAATTGTCAAGGGGAACCTTTACCTTTACCTCTTGTTGTTTAGCCGTTAAGTCATGTCCAACTCTTCGTGGCCCCATGGACCAGAGCACGCCAGGCCCTCTTGACTTCGACTGCCTCCCGGAGTTTGGTCAAAATATGCCCCATAGTATGAGATATTTGGATTCTGACTTGAAATGTATTCCTCTGCATCCCAGATTTTATTTTAAAAATCAAGGGTCCTTCAGTGGGTGACTAATCGTTGCCCTCATCCTCCCCAGTAAGCTGTGTTGTACAAAGAGTGTCAGTATCCAGCTTATTAACATAATATTAATTTTTTTTAAAATGTAGGCATTGGATATGCTTAGAGAATTTATTGGCGCTTTGGAAATGAAAGAACCTCAAAGATCAGAGCTTCATCTTGAGAAAATGCTGGTAATCAGTCGAGTGGTAAGGGTTTGTTCATATTAATAATTTCTATTCTCCATCTTGCTTTATTGTAACATATTATCCTTGATATTTTAGGTTATTTCAAATATTCAGTTTGAATCTATTATGTCTGAATTTATTAGAATACAATCTAATAGTCTGTCTGTTCACCCACACCTAAAGTTTAATCCATGCGGCATAGACAGAATCTAATGTGCAAGCCAATTCCATATACAGTACTGGTTCTTCCTAGTCTAAATAACAACCATCACCATATTGCTTCATTTTTTAGCAGTATGTCCCTCACTACACACCTGGCTCTTGTGTACAATGAAAACTTTGAACAATGTACCTTATATGCCTATCTTCCTTCCCTTTAAACTGTGTGATATTCAGGCTGGGAAGAATCAAGATGTTCTACAGGAAGTGTATGACTTTATTAAAAAATCGGGTGGCAACCTAGTATCCACTGATGCACGTTTTGCAAATGAATTAGGATATCAGCAAATTCTTCAGGGAAACTGGAAGGAAGCATACGTATGGTATAAAGCCGCTCTGCAGTTGGACGAAAGCCCAGTTGATTCACTGACAGGTATTCTGTTAAGTATTTGTTAAGAGTATTTGTCTTCAGCCTTGCTGCTTAACATCTTCAGATCATTTTTCAGGCCAGGTTCATTCAGTTACTTGGCCTGTGAAGCCGCTCTCTTGATGAAGGTGTAGCTACATCTCTCTCCTCTGTCAAAGATCGTAGATGATCTCTGATGAAAGGTTTGCCTCTACAGTGGAGCTACATGCATACTGGCACAGTTTACATAATTCCCCATCCTCCAGAAGTGGCGCGTGTTTGTCCACCAAGCATACATAAAGCGGTTTGGAGGAAAGAAGCCATACCCTTGCTCATACTGTACCTGGTGCAAAAAAGTATCCACGGCTCAGATCAGTTTGTGAACTGGTACACCTGCTGCCATGTTCAGACCCCAGGGATGTTATCTGAAGAGCATCTCAGCTCATGGCTTGGGAGAGGGAGGGTGGGCTGAAGTCAGGTTTCATGAAATGTTCCATATATGTAAGCGTGTCCCAGCCTCTTCTGCTCCATGGTGAGATGCGAGTTACAGGTAAATGGGTTGGGGGACATCCATCATCTCACTTCATCCTCTAAGAATTGCCAGTTCTGCCGGTAGATGACTGGGCAGCAGCCTCCGAGGGCTGCCTAATCCGTGATCTATGCAGCCAGACATAGCCCGTTGACCAAGCAGTGCTCATTCATAGAACAACGAATCTCTAGAATGGAACGAGACCCCAAGGGTCGCTACATCCAACCCTCTTGTGATGCAGGACATCCACAGTTAAAGCATCTCTGACAGATAACCATTTCCGGTAGATGACTGGGCAGCAGCCTCCGAGGGCTGCCTAATCCGTGATCTATGCAGCCAGACATAGCCCGTTGACCAAGCAGTGCTCATTCATAGAACAACAAATCTCTAGAATGGAACGAGACCCCAAGGGTCGCTACATCCAACCCTCTTGTGATGCAGGACATCCACAGCTAAAGCATCTCTGACAGATAACCATTCGACTTTTGTTTAAAAATCTGCAATGAAGAACAGTCTGTCTCGTCACCTTTTAAGGGAGTTCATTCCACGGTTAAACTTACCCAGCTCTCTGTGCCAGGGTGGATTTGATTTAAATTACAATTTAGTTTAAACAAACAAACAAACCCTGGGGTGGGGGTTGCAATTTACATTTTAAAAATCATTTAAAAATGTAAATAAAAAATCTATTTTTAAAATTTAAATTTTAAAAATTTAAATTGTGAAATCAGCTAATGCTTGATTTCTTTTTCTTTTTTCTTTTTCTTTTTATATTTTCTCTTTTTCCCTTCTTTCATCTTGATTAACTTGTCTATTGATGTTTAAAAAGTTTGTTATATTTTATATATGGTTATATATGTTGGTAGCCACCTAGAGTGGTCGTTTGACCAGATAGGAGGGATATAAATAAATAAATAAATAGACAGACAGACAGACAGACAGACAGACAGACAGACAGACAGACAGACAGACAGACAGACAGACAGACAGACAGACAGACAGACAGACAGACAGACAGACAGACAGACAGACAGACAGACAGACAGACAGACAGACAGACAGACAGACAGACAGACAGACAGACAGACAGACAGACAGACAGACAGACAGACAGACAGACAGACAGACAGACAGACAGACAGACAGACAGACAGACAGACAGATAGATAGATAGATAGATAGATAGATAGATAGATAGATAGATAGATAGATAGATAGATAGATAGATAGATAGATAGATAGATATACAGTAGTTAGCATTAATACATTCATTCAGCAACCTCCAAAAAGTCCTGTTATTTCCCCCCCCTTATCTGATTAATCCCTAATGACATACCGTCAAGTGAAAGCAAGCTAATTTGTAAGCAAGCTGAGAAACTTTGTTCTGTGGTAAACAAACAAATATAACCGCTCAACAGAGCTTTGCTTCTGATAGAATGCTCACAGTAACATCTGTTTCGAATCTCTAGAGAGCAGACCAAAAGAGGTTTGTTTCATTTCAGGAGACCGTATTATGTATGTATGGCCGAGGGGCTGGACAATCCCAGGTTATATGGTTGAGCTAGATGCTGCTCCTGTCACTAGCAGTGGCACTGCATGTCCAATTGCAAGAGAACATGCTAGCTGTAGGACATAAGGGAGTCACAGTAGTTGATGTCATTGTGGAACGGATAGCCGTGTTCGCCTGTGGAAGCATGATAGGTAAAAACAAAATAAGTACAAATATAAAGATAAATAGCGGTTGATGTATCAGAAACTGCCAGACACAACCCTGTTCTGTTACATTTGGTTACTCCGTACTGGACCGCTGCACTATGAAAACACTTTGTTCCTGATTTACAAAGATGAAAAGTACGCTTCAACTATCCCTATGAACATGTAACATTAGCAATTTGGCTTTACTCTCTTACAGGGCTTATATGGTGCCAGGTGCTCGAAGGAAAACTAGAAGAGGCCGAACAGCAGTTGGAGTTCCTAAAGGAAGTTCAGCAATCCATCGGAAAATCTTCAGTTAGATTATGATTGTTTTTAATGTTTTACATTCATAATTATACACCAAGTGGAGGCGATGAATTGCCAGCTGTTGACCCTTGTTGCAGAGGACGGTGTCCCCCAACCCTAGAGGCCAGCAGCTTGCTTGGGGTGGTGGTGACTTCTGCCTCCTCCACCCAACTGAGCCGAATCAGGCTCTTAAGTTTTTCAGCAGCTGACACTGGACTACATCTGGCTGGAGAAAGCCGCTGGGCATTTTAATTTCCAGCCCTCCTGGGTCCCCAGTTTTGTATAGATGGGAGGGCAGTTTGCAGAGTTATACGACTACCATGTTGATATATATATATATATATTATATACAGTATTACCGTAAATATGATGGAAGGCAAAGTGTCGGTCGCCATACAACAAATGCACTCGTTGCACGGTGACAAATCTGCAAATATTAATACTCGCTGCTTAGCACTTTAATTTGCATGTCTCATATACAGTTGTGCAAAAGTAAAAAAGTAAGAAGCTATATTTCAACCGTCTGGAAGGGCTGTAGGTATGCTGGCTTCACTCCACACATATACATACCCCGTGCTTCCATTCCATGCCAACCTTAGTCAAAATGAAGCCAGTGGGTTTTTTTAATTATTATTATTCTGAGGACCAGAATTGACACTAGTTTCTCAACACAAGCTTCAATGAACCCCTGAGTTGGTAATGTTCACAAAAGCCATCAAAGTCATGCAGAAGGGGGACAGTGGAATTTATACGTAAAGGATGAAGGTTTAGAAGATCCTGCCTTTTCATTCAGACCTGAGCATCTGCACTAACCATCCTGGATGTTAGGCAAAGAAAAGCTGTAGCGTGATCATGAAAGAAGCTGCCCTATCCAGTAACATTTCCCATTCTTTTCTCCCCCAGGCACTGGCCTACCTTCAGGCTGTGATTGCTTCAAGAAAACACAAGGACGAGCAGGCTGCCAGCGCCTTTCTCAATGAAGCCGCCGAACTCCATTTTTCTGCCTTGCACGGCCTTCCTTTAAGCATGGAATACTACGAGAAGCTCAACCCTATGTTTTTGATTGAAATCGTGAAAGAGTATTTAGTCTTCTGCCCCAAACAGGTAGGAAATCTCATTTCGTGTTTCTCAATGTTCCAAACAGTAGAACTGAGGACCAGATAGGAGAGTCTTTTATGGGGCCAGTTTGCTTCTGAGGAGAGACTGGCAGAGACATATAATCAGTTTTTGAAGCGGGGTGGGTTGCTATCCTGCTTTAGTCCATTCAGGCCTAAATCCATCCCCTGAATTATTGTACATCCTGAAGTTCCTGCCATACTCTGAAATCCATACAATCAATCAGTCAGTCAGTCAGTCAATCAATCAATCAATCAATCAATCAATCAATCAATCAATCAATCAATCAATCAATCAATCAATCAATCAATCAATCAATCAATCAATCAATCAATCAATAGTATCATAAGTATTTCCATAAACCTTCAGTGTATGTGTATCTTATCCCTCACATTATTCCCAAGAATGGAGTATCAAAACAAATCTGTTTTATCTTGGTCCTTTTATTTCGGAAGAATACTGTACATGCTTTTACTTCTGTTTGTGTAGCCGCGGTTACCTGGACAGGTGTTGTCCTCCCTCCTTAAGCAAGCAACAATAATATTGAATCCCCTTGTGAAAGCAGCTCCTGGAATGATTGAGCCTCTTTTTCTAATGGCGCAGGTGAAATATTTATCAGGTAAAGCAGAACTTTGATTACCTCCTATAAAGATTTTAAAAAATACATCTCGCTTTTATGTCTGAAGAAGTGGACTTGTTCACAAAAGTTCACATTAAAATATAGTGGTTAGTCTTTAAGGGGTCACAGCATTCTTGTCTTCTTTATTTTTTAAAAAAATTAATGTTGTTTTGGCCTGATATGCTAGCACACAGCTCCCTCTTCTAGATCTGACCTTTATGTGAGTAATAATCCATTTAGAATTATCCAAAGGAAAAAACTGTTCATAAACCTAATCAAGTTTGGGCCTTAGAAAAGCTTAGAAAGACTTCTGTTTTGTATGAGTGTCCTTTGATTTTAAATTATTAATTATGAATCTGAAGTGGAAACTTGGAAGAACCTGTAAAGGGTGAGGGAGGTAAGAGAGGCCCCCCCCCGATAAGAATCAAGTGCAGGGACCAGCCTTACAGACGTCGGTGCCCCCAAAGATCCTCATTCTCTTTTTCATGCTGGATCTGATGCCAAAGGGCAGGCATTTCGCAGCCCTCCTCTTCTTCATTCCCAAGACTACCCAGGAAAATTAGGTATTTTATTAAGTAAATAAATATGCCCTAACTTTTTACCAACAAGTTGTCAAATTCCCACTTGCTTCAGAGAGAAGGCTTCACCTTTGGTCCCATCTATGCACCACTGGTTCTATGTGTGGGAAGGATCATAGTACCGTAGTAGCCCACATGCATTGCATGCAGGAGCCAGACATTTCCAGTTGAAAAGGATCAAGTCTGCCAAACTAGAGAATGCGGGGTCTTCCAGATGTTGTTGAACTAGTTTCCCCCTCAGCCACATGCAGTCTAGCCACTGATGAGGGATTGTGGGAGTTGCAACATCTGGAGAGCTACAGGGCCCTTATGTCAGTTTCTTCATAATCTGTCACGTCGTTTCAAGGGGAAAGAATACAAGAACGCTGCTGTTACTGTGATCCACAGGCCGAGGACAGAAAGGTCAAAGCAGAGGGAGAGTCATTTATTGTATTTTGCAGTCCTCAGAGGAACAGCCTCAGAAACAAAACTTAGTGGAAAAATTAGGGCTTGTTCTGTGCAGGACTAACAGTCCCATCACACTGTAAGCCACACAGCTGTAAGCCACACAGCACATACCTCAAGCCCCATAATACTGAAGACAGACATAATATTTGAGAATGTTCATCTCTCAGTCTTAATCCTCTCCCAATGCTTCAAGAGAGCTACTTGCCTTTTAAACTATTATATGGATTTCTCCCCATACACACACATTAAAAGCAAATCTTGCAGGTCATTGCAAAAGTTCTTCAGAAACTGGAGGGCACGTTACTAGAGAAGGTTTTAGTGATTCATCCTCTGCTTTTTTTTTTCCAACTCAGATTGTAAATTCTACACGTTGGCAGAGGTGGATTTTTGCTGTTATTAGAAAACCCCAAAGGAGAAGTTTTTCATTGATATAAGGCATTTCCAAATACTTCTCACTGTTCTAAAAATATTACTTCTGTCTTCATTTCAACAAAACTAAGAAGTAATCCAAAAAGGGGCTGGCACCAGGTTTTGAAAGCCTTTCTAGAAAAACAGATGTCTGCAGCAAAATGACAAAGACTGTTTTTGCAGGAGAATTAGAAACTGCTCAGGGTACTCTGCAGCGCTGTTTAGAACTGGACCCAACATCGACAGATGCCAATCTTCTTATGGCCGAGATCCACCTCTGTCAAGGAAACATCAAGGAATGTGCCCATTCGCTAGAAATAGGGGTCAGCTACAATTTTCAGGTGAGACTGAATCCAGAAGAAACAGTTAAATGTCCCCCTTCATTGTAGCATTATCTGGGAGCTGTGAGTAACAACCTCACTTGCCAGTAGTTTCCTTGTGTCTATGACTGGTACACACAAAGAACAGGGTCGGAACTTCTGCCATCTGGATTTTCCATCCACTTTCTTTTCATAAAGAACCCAGATGTTACTGGGAACCCATCAAATTGCAATATTTCAATGTCCTACGTTTTTCCCCCCATCACACCAAATATGTTCTGAAAATGGCACTGGCAATACCAGGATGGCAAAGCATTCCAGATGCCAGTGGTGCACAGAAAATGGATCTAGAGCCTCTGATAAATCTCAGGACAACATGCAACAGATCAGCAATTAATTCTGACACATGGTTAGTTAACAATAACAGCACCAAAGTGATAATTATGGTTCTTGCAATGGAGAAAGTAACTAGGCGTGTATTTTTTGTGAGCAAGGACCGTGCATCCTGGGTTCTGCACTCAAACAAATCCCTGGGCTTGGAACAATTTCATTGCAAGTGCTTGTTTTTTCACCAGGTTATTGTACCTTTAGTTAGAAGCTTCTTGCTTGATACTTCTCCCTTTAAAAATTCCTGTTCATTGTACTGCAGCATCAATGGTGAATTGCCTCACAGCACAAAGCTCCTGCTCCAGGGTTGGGGACAGTGTATGATAAGTGACAGCTTTCTTCTCATTCATCTCATCTCCTTTAAAAAAAACCCTGGTTTTGGAAAGATTTATCGAAACCTTTTTTTTAAATTGCAAAGTGAGTTGTTTTAACAATTTTTAAAAGGAGGCAGGAAAACTGTCATTAAAGCTCACCTCCTCCCATGGAACTGTAAGGGGCAATTTGTCAAACATGTGATGCTCCTGCTTGACCGGAACTACTCACAGTGCTACAAACCATGAGTTGAAACCTGTTAACGAATTTTGCAGGGGACGTTTTTGTGAACACATCTGAGCAGATGTGACAGAAGGATCCTGCAAAGAAGAAGGGCTAATTAATAAAAGTGGAAGGGCCAGCAGGAAAATACTGAGAGCTTCAGAATGACAGCTCCACAGTGCTGAAAGCCCCTCATGGAAAGGCAGTCTCGGGAGAAACAGCCAGTCATCTCTGATCCTAAGAAAGGATTTGTACGTGTGTACACACACACACACACACACACACACGCACGCACGCACGCACACACACACACACACACACACACACACACAGAAAGAGAGAGAGAGAGACTAATAATATGTCCTCAAGTATCTTAACACTAATACTTTGAGGAAGAGGTTATAATTGGTTTGTATGAAGTGATTTAAAGTTCCTTTGTTACGATCAACAGATCAGATAGATTGGTTTGCTTTATAAATGTCACTGTTTAATTTTTTTTCTTTTCTTCCCTTTTTTAATCCTAAGAAAGGATTTGTACGTGTGTACACACACACACACACACACACACACACACACGCCCGCACACACACACACACACACACACACACACACAGAAAGAGAGAGAGAGAGACTAATAATATGTCCTCAAGTATCTTAACACTAATACTTTGAGGAAGAGGTTATAATTGGTTTGTATGAAGTGATTTAAAGTTCCTTTGTTACGATCAACAGATCAGATAGATTGGTTTGCTTTAATTTTTTTTTCTCTTCTTCCCCTTTTTTTAACCAGCTTCGTGATTCCCCATTGTATCACTTCATCAAGGCCAGAATGCTCAACAAAACCGGAGAGTTTGCTGAAGCCATTAAAATTTTGAAAATGCTTCTCAGTTTACCTCAAATGAAAAGGGAAAACAAGAAAGGCCCGGCGCCCTACTTAACTACAAGCGAACAAGTTTCTGTTTACCTGGAACTTGCTGAAGCTCTTAGACTCAATGGAGAACTAGTAAGACGTTTCATACGCTGTCCACATTTCAGTCAATCCAATTTCATTTTAAGGGGCAGTAAGACCCTCTGAAACTGAGATGAGCAAACTCTTGTTTTAAAAAAATGAATGCATTTGATTAGCTTAATAGGCACATAGCAGCAGCAATTTAAAGGCTTTTGATATAAGACGATATAAGGGATACAGTATTATGGTTCATTTAAAAAAAATCATTTTCCTATACAGTGTTTTTTTAATGCAAAGAACTTTCATGTATGTTGTTCTCACTTTCCAGCATGAAGCTACTAAGATAATGCAAGACGCCATTAATGAATTTAGTGGGACGCCAGAGGAGATCCGTGTTACTGTTGCTAATGTAGATTTGGCTCTCAGTAAGGGAGAGGTGGATGTAGCCTTGACTATGCTGAGGAATGTCACGCCGAACCAGCCGTATTACACCGAGGTCAAGGAAAAAATGGCCCAGATTTATCTTCTGATCCGAAAGGATAAGAAACTGTACATTGCTTGTTATTGGTAATGTCACTTCAAGTTAATTATGGTTTTTGTGAGAATCCAATGTCACATTTTGCTTTAGGTGCAAAGAGGAATCCTGAAATTAACAAAACTATTAGCTGGGTGCCAGAAGCAAATTTTAGGTGTTAAGATTCATGAACAATTCTGGCTAAAAGATTCTAACAAAATTTGCTGATCACTTTGGGGTTGGTTATTATACAGACATAATGCTGCCCATATTTTGGCTTTTAAGAAACATTCTAATTGACCACTACAATCATTTAAAACTTTCACTAAGGTTGTATTACAGTATTGGTCTTTTTTGCTGCAAAGTCACCCCTGAGTCAATCTGTCCTGAAAATTTATATTTGATATAAATAAAATAGGGATGTAGCATAATCATTCCTGCCCCATAATAATATGCCAAGTATCTGCTGAGTGCTAGCTTCCTGAAATGTCTTCCAGCTTCTGCTACAGTCAGTGGCAATATGCAGGGAAAAAAATCCATGTTCCTTGCACTCTCCAATTACAGTAGACAACAGTTTGCTGAAACCTGCTTCAGTTCTGATATCTACTGATTTCTACATTTACTATACATGTAAAGCAACTGCTGGTGTGAGAAGCCCCAGTTTGACTGTTAAAACTGAGCCATAGCCCAATGTCATCCCTTCACAAACCCTTTCCCAGAAGGTGGATCGGCTCCTGTAGAAGCAGACATGATTGCATGATATGGGTAAGCTTGGGGAAAATTACTATTTTGGACTGCAGCTCTTAGAATCTCCTATTCAGCATGGCTGGATGGAAAATTCTGGGAGGTAAAAGGTAAAGGTTCCCCTTGACATTTAATCAAGTCGTGTCTGACTCTAGGGCACGGTGCTCATCCCCGTCTCTAAGCCGTAGAGCCAGTGTTTGTCTGAAGACAATTTTCGTGGTCACGTGGCCAGTGCAACTAGACATGAAACATCGTGGCCTTCCCACCGAGGTGGTACCTATTTATCTATTTGCATTTTTGCATGCTTTCGAACAGCTAGGTTGGCAGGAGCTGGGACAAGCGTCGGGGCGCTCACTCCGTTGAATGGATTCGATCTTACAACGACTGGTCTTATGACCTTGCAGCACAAAGGCTTCTTCGGTTTAACCCGCAGCGCCACCACATCCCTAATTCTGGGAGACATACTCAAAAAAGCCATTTCCCCACACCTGCCCCTGCCCCCAAACCCTCAGGGAGAAGCGGCTTCTGCAGGTTAACCCGCAGCGCCACCTATCCCTAATTCTGGGGGACATACTCATTTTCCCGCTCCCGCCCTCTCCTCCAAACCCTCAGGGAGAAGCAGGATCTTCTTTGAAACCAAAGTTTGGTCATATAGCAGTTATTCACTTGGATTTGTGAATGGGCATTCATGGTAAAGGATACAGCAAAACATACATAGCTCCTCACATAACCCCATAAGCAGTGCTTGTCCATGCAACCAGTTTCCATGTTCATGAAGTGTATTGAAGAGGTGAATATGTACATGTTCTCCAAGCAGGACAGGCAGTGGATGCTTTCTCAGCATGTGGTGCTATGCCTGCCCATATAAGCTGTTTAAGGAATTGTAATGCGTGGTTGTGTCTTTTCCAATTTTGGAACTATTGCAGTCAAAGTGGCAGCTAACTCACCTTTTTCTCCTTTGCTTGCACAGAAGTTATATCCTGTTGTGTACATTAAGGTTTGCTTTTTGTAACTTCTTAAGACTGCCATCATACTCTCCCGTCGTTCTCCCCTCCCCCCTCCACTGCATTGTAAGCTTTATTAGACCTGTACAGGATTCCAAGGTAAATAATATTTCCCTTTTTGTTTAGTGACCTGCGTGAACATTTGCCTGGTCCTCATACAAGTCTTCTGTTGGGTGATGCCTATATGAATATTCAAGAGGTTAGTGAAAAAGAAGAGTTTATTCATTAAATCATAACCATTCCCAATGAAACACTAATTCAAGAGGTTAGTGAAAAAGAAGAGTTTCATTAAATCATAATCATTCCCAATGAATCACTAATGTAGTAGTAGTAGTAGTAGTAGTAGTAGTAGTAGTAGTAGTAGTAGTAGTAGTAGTAGAAGAAGAAGAAGAAGAAGAAGATATGTGTGTGTGTGCATGCACATTACACTTCATGCCAGGCTTTCCAGGAATGTATGTGAAGCCCCTTGAATCCTTAAAAACTTTATGTCAATGCTGCTACTACTATTATTACTTTTACTACTGCCTCACAGCAGTGGGCATAAAAAATTGATTGAGTACCACGAAACTCATTCGTTGGAAAGATTTACTATTATGTATTCCTTTGTATAGCAATTCTTTCCCAGTTTCCTTGCACTTGGACTTCTATGCCAGGTCAAAATGTTGATGAACTTCCATATCTGCCTTCCATATCTTACCACTGGCCAGCTTGGCTAGGGCTGATAGGAGCTGGGATTCAGAAACATCTAGAAGGCCACGGGTTCCCCACTCCATGGTTTAGCTCCGCATGAACTTCTGATCCACCAACTCAGCACCATTTGAGAAAAGATCTGTGGAGAGATCCTGACATGCCAAGATCATTCTTGGCAAGTAAGTAGAGGGAAGCTTTGCATTCCTGTGTTCCTCCTTGATCCTTGTGTGTGTCATCTTACCGTACACTTTAAGAATATAGGCCGTTAAATTACAATTCAGTATAAAATCCAGGATGAAACTTCTCTCTGAACACTGTACAAAACTTCTTGAAGAATCTATTACAATAGAATATTTTATTTATTTATTTATTTATTGGACTTATATACCGCCCCATAGCGCTATAAGCACTCTCTGGGCGGTTTACAATTTTAATTATAAAGGCTACACATTGCCCCCCCAGCAAGCTGGGTACTCATTTTACCGACCTCGGAAGGATGGAAGGCTGAGTCAACCTTGAGCCGGCTACCTGGGATTTGAACCCCAGGTCGTGAGCAGAGTTTTAGCTGCAGTAGAACAAATCTGATTAGTATCTTTCTACCATCAACTCTTCCAAACATATCTCTCCACACTACCAGTCATAAAATTAGCCTTAAACTATGTCAAGTTTACGTTAAGTCAGTTGGGACCCACTTAAGTCCCCTTGGCTTCAGTATTAAAACATTTACACCTTCACATTTTTTAAATTGATATCCTGTTTTACAGTTATTCTAATTAAGGTCTCTAATAATTACTTAAAATTAAAAGGGTTAAATTTAGTAAAAGCAACCAGATGCTTTAAAATCAGTTAAAAGTAATCCTGGTGGTCACAAATTAGTGTCCTGCTACTAGCTGGGCAGGGTATAAGTTCGATAAATAAATAAACAAATACTCTTGAATACTCTTTATGTCTTTCTTACAGGTCTCATAATATTCCCTTTTGAGCCTGTCCCTGAAAATTAATTCTGCTTTCCTTGCAATTTTGACTTGGGAATAACTTCCTACTGAACTTCCAAGAAACATGCATCAAAAGAAGCTGTTCATTCCCGAAGAAACTCCAAAATTAGCTTTGTGAATATGCGTACAAAGATAACTGCTGTATTTCTGTCATTTATTTTAGCCCGAGAGAGCTTTGGAGGTTTATGAAAGAGCTCAGAAGAAGAATCCTTTGGATGCAACCGTGGCGAGGAGAATCGGCCAAGCATATGTCTCCACCCATCAGTATAACAAGGTCCAGAGACTGATCATTATTTCTGTTTGACGTGTGTCAGATAACATCATTTGTGTGCCTTAAAATGTCCTAGAACTGCGCCACAGCACCCAGTGAAAACAGAAGCAATGTGTTACAACAAAGGATGATTGAGGGTGTTGGGTGGACAGACCAACTTCAAATTTAACATTGGAGGCTGCATGTTGTAATAATTCTCTGTAAGTCTCCCTTGTCCAACCCCAGTAATCGTTAGGGAGAAATGTTCTAGCCCAGGCTTTTGATGGAGTTGTTTTTCTGGACAGGGTATGTGGTTTTTTTTTCATATACAGGAGAAAAACCCATATCAGAAGTAAAGTTGTAGAGCGGCACCGTTTGGTTTTATTGCTTCCGTGCCTCAGCTCTCAGACTGGCAGCCATCATTTAAAAAGTGCTTGTTTCGTCCATAGCTCTTAGTGGCAGCTCTTCTATTGAAGCTTATTCACTCATTTCAGGCTATCAATTACTACGAAGTAGCTCTCAAGATGAGTGAGCAAGATTTCTTATGTCACGATCTGGCCGATCTTCTTTTAAAGCTCAAGAAGTTTGGAAAAGCAGAGAAAGTTCTAAATCAAGCACTTGATCATGACTGTGGTAAACATTTTTTCTATCTTCTACCAGAGATTTCATGTTGACTTATAGCAGAAGCATACTGTGTTATACAGTATATTTTTTTATAAAAAGTGATGTGACAGCAAATGCATGTTGCACTGGCACTCTATACTGAAGGATCTTCCTTGCTGACTTCTTTATGATCAAATGTTCATTCAGCCTGCTGCTTATAGTGTGTTGATGTTGCATTTGATCCACAAGAACAGTGGTCCCCAACCTTGGGCCTCCAGATGTTCTTGGACTTCAACTCCCAGAAATCCTGGCCAGCAGAGGTGGTGGTGAAGGTTCCTGGGAGTTGTAGTCCAAGAATATCTGGAGGCCCAAGGTTGGGGACCACTGCACAAGAAGACAGACCAACCAGACGTGTGGTCCTGCGTCTTCCATCTTCTTCTGTTTGGACATGCTGCCCACCAGTGAACTGTTACAATCTAAGCGCCCTTCCTAGTTGTTGTTGTTCAGTTGTTAAGTCATGTCCGTCTCTTCGTGACCCCATGGACCAGAGCACGCCAGGCCCTCCTGTCTTCCACTGCCTCCCGGAGTTGGGTCAAATTCATGTTGGTAGCTTCGATGACACTGTCCAACCATCTCATCCTCTGTCGTCCCCTTCTCCTCTTGCCCTCACACTTTCCCAACATCAGGGTCTTTTACAGGGAGTCTTCTCTTCTCATGAGATGGCCAAAGTCTTGGAGCCTCAGCTTCAGGATCTGTCCTTCCTAGAAGGCATGTAATACTGTATCCACAAAGTGGGGGCTTCAAGAATGGGCTCTTCCTGTCTAGATTTGGGTCAGGGTAGTTCTCTTGCTTGTTGCAAATGATCTCCTGTGCTCTCTTCTTCCTGCCTATAACCCGGATCTATTTTCCTTTTCTTCCTAGCCATCATCCAGGGGTGTTAGCTGCCACTGAACCTGTTTACAGCAGAAAATCAGAGCCTTTGTTTTCTTTTGGTACAAACCATATAGATGTACAAAATAATGATGCTTGTGTCTTTTCAATCTTCCAGCTGATGATCTGCCCTCAATGATGAAAGATGTTAGGAACTGGATATTACTAGCAAAAGTTTATGATACAAATAAAAGGGGAGAAGTTGTTCTGGAAACTCTGAGCAAGGTAGAAAACCAAATTTGTACAAGTGCTTTCTCTTTGGGAGTGTTCCTAGTTCATTTCCAACACCCATGTAAATCTGTTTGATTTTTCAAGTAGCCAAATATTGAAAACCTGACTCAGGTAACAACCTGACAAATTAAGTTTAAATCAATGTAAGTACTGTATTTATAACTTACCACCCATTTTTCCCTATACTGACCAGCTAGAAACAAGTCCTTTTAAAGAGACCCTGTTCAAATTGCATGGAAGAACAATGAAAGCATAACAATAAATGCTTCCTTTAAAATATGCGTTTTGGGTGAAAATATATTATTCTTTTGGATAAAACATCATATGCCTTCTATACTTGATTTCCTTGAGAACAGGTGCTCAAGATCCACATAGAATGACCAAAAAGATTTAAGTACTCACTCACTTAAAAGAAGAAGGCGTACTGTATGCATGATTTACTGTACTTAAATATGGCTACACCAAGTCAATTTAGACTGCTGATTTGATGTTCTAAGCAAAATAGTATAAATATGTTTCTTGATATGCAAGGAGCATATCAGAAATGGGATATAGGAGTGTGTTTCATCTTGTCAGTATGCTTCAGTATCAGTTAAGTGACACAGCTGGAACTAGACTCAAAAGAGCAGGAAAAGGGAGTGTTTGATATGCATCCTATTAATCTATTTTTATAATATTATTGCTACTGTTTTAGAGCAGAAGATGGTTACGGTCCTGGGAAGTAATAGATTTCTAGCCCAGCTGAAGTTGGATACAAACACATACATGTGTTCTTCAGATATATTCTTCATATCTATCTATCTATCTATCTATCTATC